GACACCAACCTTTCGGGTTTCCTTTCCAAGTAGGCGATCCGTCTTCGAAGTTCCTCCAACTCCCTCTCGGCAGTGCTCGTCCTGCTGTCTTGTAGCCTTGTCCCTGACGTAGATGGTCCTCCACTGACTCGCAGCATCTCTTGAGTGGCCTCTATCTTCTGTAAATTCTTCCTGAATTGTTCTAGGGTTCCATTTTCCATTAAATTTGCTCCAAAATTGTAGGCTTCAATCCTCGCATAATAAAGTTGACTATTTCGGCTTCCGGCATACCTGGGTTTACTTTGTAGCACAGTGTTAGAACATCGTTGTAGAAACACCAAAGATCCTCATCTGGCATCTGCTTCTTATTCAAAAGTTTAAAATAATTCTGTTCGCTCTGTGCGGCACTTTTGAACGAATCAATTATTTTCTGCTGGGCAATCGCGAATTCGGTACACTGATTCTCGATTGTTTCGAAAAAGTCCAAGGCGGCACCTTCCAAAAAACAAGGTAACTGTACCAACTTGGTTTGATCCGACCAATGATTAGCTGTTGCTGCTCTATTGAAAATCTTGAGAAAATCTTGAACCTTCTCGCCCACTTTACCGGCGAAAGTTTCAGGTGTAACCGAAGCATAAACTTCAGCCGCGTCTCCCATCTTGGTTTCTTCTCGTTTCAACTTAGCTATAGTTTCTTCTTCGTCTTCTTGAAGTTTCTCGGATTCTACAAAAGTTTCTTCGTCTGACTCAGCTTCTGAATACCTGCTTTCTTCTGGTTTAGGGTTCGTACCTATTTCTTCCTTCATTTTCTCGTTTGCTTCGTGTTTTGCTTTAGTTTTCCTCAACCGCGTCAGCATTAATTACGATTTCCACTGCCCGTATTTCACTTCAACTCACCCACAATTTTTCATTTGATTTTCTTGGTTTTTCGATTTTTTTGTTATTTTTTATAGTTTTATTTACTCGGAATGCCCGGCATGCTCCACCAATTTGTCACGTAGGGGTATGGGGTCGTAGCTATGGTAGTTCAATAACTAGAGCAGTGTCGGCAAAAAGGGTGTATTGGGGAGTTGACTGATAGATGTTACAAGTTATGTGGTAGCAGTACAACTGAATTGTTAATTATACAAAATGCATTCACATTGCAATAAATTGATTAACGTGGGCTTGAGCTGCGTGGTCTCCCTCCGTGCCCCGCACGCTGAGAATCCTGCTGACTCAGGACAGCACACCGCCGTTGGTTGAGTGAAGGTGGAAGCATGTAGCAGGTACAGGGTGTTCTGCCTAGGAGGGCGCTCTCGCGACAATATTTGAGACTGTACACTGAGAGAAACTGGATATTAAAAATATCTACCAGCTTTGATTGTAATAACCATTATAAAGAAATCTCCTATTCCTGATCATTTTATTATTACAACAGTATTCTCTCCATTCTGTAATTATAAAAGTCGCTTTCCTAAACCATTTGTAATACCCTTGAATGGACATTTGCTACCATCATAACGCAGGTGTGTTATGACATTATGAATATTTTATTAATTCTAGTCTATTCAGATTTTTTATTGACATAGCTCGTTTTGTGAATCATGGTAATTGGTGAATTCAGATGATATTTGTCCCAATAATCATAGCTGTTTGGATTTCTAGCATTGTACGTTGACGAATAACTGTAGCAATTCACATGTATGACGGTTATTAGACAATCATTCAACAATCGTGATTCGGCTCATTTCGCTCTAGTTTTTCATTAGTTTTGGGGCTAACAAAGCTACAGATCGCGTTCATTTTCACTTTTGTTCTCGTTCATGGGTGTGCCCGCTGTGCCCGTGTTCAATTATTGTTTAATGGTTTCGATCGTCCGAATCGACAGAGCCGTGTCTTGTGTGTGATGTAGCAAAATTTTGTTTTTGTGCTGGCTGTGAACCGAGCTGTGAAATACACCGTGCATTGCATTACTGCAATAAAGAAAGTATTCTCCATACCCACTTTTCACGGACTGAAATTGGTTTATTTCGAAAAACAAAACGATCGACGAGATTCTGAATTAAAATATCTGGGTTTTATTGACAATTCTCATCATAACTCCAAAGGAAAAGTTAATATAAGTGAGTATTCAACTTCTCACCTCTTAATAAATTCGTCAGTATGCATATGGATGATATTTCTCCAAAAAAATCAATGAGTATTGTCAATAAAACTTCCAGAGAATCCCAGATATTTCAATTCAGAGACTAATCGTATTTTTGTTTTTTGAAAAAAAGACTCTGGATCATGAGAAGTAAGTGTGGATAGGATATTTATTTTCATTGCAGTAATTCAAAGCACGGTTTCACGATGCATACCATCGAACAATGTTGATCAGATTACCTAATTAACACTGTTTGATGAAAATACTAGAGTAGAAAAATATTGGGATAACTGTTGAGAATGAAAATATTACTAACTTTAATAAAATGAGACGAATTACTGCGTTACCTCGAGATGGTTGGGCCAGTAATGAAAACAGGCTGTTTTATGATGATAGTCGAATAACCACTGTGGATGTTACAAGTGGATCAGTTACTGCAACATTCATTCAGGAATAATTTCTATTCGACACTCTGTGTTATCATACAAACTAGAACAAGTAGTAGTTATTTCGGCAGCAGTCATCCACGTTGCTACTTTTTGATGGTTCTCCTATGGATGTTTCCAATTTTTTGAATTACATTAACTCGCTTCATCCCAATATTAGTTTCACTTGTGAATCAGAAGTCAACGGTTCTTTACCTTTCCTTGACTTACTCATTTCAAAAAACTTAGACACTCACACTTTTGATTTTGAAATCTACAGAAAACCTACATCCACAGATACAGTGATCCCTTTTAATTCCAACCACCCACCTTCACATGATTTTGCCTCATTCAATTGTTTTTTCCATAGAGTTTTTTTTTACCACTATCTGATACAGTTTTTAATAAAGAGATTAACATTATTAAACAAATTGCTATAAACAATCATTTTCCCTTAGAACATATCATGAAGATTTATTTCAAATTTTATACTGGATTCTGACTCACTTTTAATGTAACATTGAGTCAAGCTACTGATCCCCCTGTTTTCAAATCCTTACATTACTCTGGTAATTTTTCTGTTCAAATTTCAAAACTTTTCAAAAATTTCAATATTAATATATCCTATAAAACTTCCTTCAATCTCAAACATTTACTTGTTAATTCGAAAGTCAGGTGTGTATAGATTGAATTGTAATGATTGTAACTCTTCTTATATTGGTCAAACTGGTAGAAGTTTTGAAACCCGTGCCTTTGAACATAACAGACTCATCCACAAATTTCTCAACTCAGATAATCCTAACACTACATCTTCCTTTGCAAATCATATTATTGATTCCAGTCATTCTTTCGATGTTAACTGCAACATGGATATTATCCACATTTGTAATAAAGGTCCACGGCTAAACCTCTTAGAAATTTTAGAAATCCAAAAATGTATAAACAATCCCAATTCTTACTGTCTCAATGACCAAACTAATTTTGAACGAAACCACATTTTTCGCACACTTAAATTCTCATGACCTTTTTCATCTTACATTTTTACCTAAGCCGACCCTGTTCCATTTTGTTCACCTTCCTGAGTTCTTCTTCTTCTGGGTTAGATCACAATTAGTACACCGTGACACTTCTTCTCTTTTCTTGGATTACATATCATTCGGCCTTACCACTTATCTCTCCTTTAGGTTTTTTAGACATAATGAATCTTGTAATTGATTCATTTTTAAGAATTTTACTACAACATTATCAAAATTCAAAATTGTAATCTTATATTGTGCATGTCATTTGAATTTTTTATCAAATGTCACTGTCATTTGTCATGTAATTCTGTCAACGTCTGTTGCTTTGCTTGACATTTCGTTGCCATCTCCTTGGCTTTTGTCTTTCACAAAAACGGCAATTTTAAGATGAAACTCATGTGAGTGAATTAACTGCTGGTTTTTCCAATTTTCTGTCAATGTTGAATCTAATCCTCATTAGGTTCTTTTGGCTGTTCAGTCGGTTCAAAAGAATACCAATTTTTTCACCTGACTGAATTTTGGCCAAATGACCCTTGCAATTCATTTTTCAATTAAATCACTTATGTGATTCCACGTGTCCTTTTATAGGTATGTTTTTCCTCAATATGTCATTTTATTCTTGTAAACCAAAATCTTTACAGGTACTATATACTGTGTCTGAAGATGGCTGCTTGAGCCGAAACTAGTCACAAAAAATCTTTCTGTAATTAAACTTTGTGGTCGACCGACTTAGCGTTTGTGTTTTTTCCTTTGGAAAAATCTGGACCACTTTGAGAAGGATGGATGGTTTCCATGAATTAGGTCATTATTCAACATCTCTGTATGATCATTATGATCTTCAATAGCATTTATTGCTCCTCTATTGGGACGATAACTGAAATTACTCTTGCTTATACTATTTCTTTTGTGAAAGTTACCAGAGCTAGAGTTACCCACTTTGGAATTTTTGTTACCATCCCCCCCAGCTCTATGTTTAAACTTGCATACTGTTGAAAAATGATTTTGACCTCCACATACACTGCAAGACTTTCCATATGCTGGACATTTGCCATGACCATGCTAAGGGGTCTATTCAGTAACTTATCGTTCGAATACGATATCGTTACGATAACGATACATTGACCAACGACATTTTGAACGATAATTTCTAGAAGCTTATTCAGTATCGATGTCGTTAGAGAAAAATCTGGGGACATGGTAATAAATGGATTAGGTGAATGTTGGTAAGAGTATGTTGATGTTCTGTGGCTAAAAACGCGCGAAAATTGTTAGAAGTTGAAAAAATGGTTATTTTTGTCAGTCAGTAAAACAAAGTAACATCACAGTTAAGTAGTAAACGTCTTCCAGGAAACGAATTTTTTTCTTTTTGTATTGTATCAATGTAAGTATATTAATGACTATTGAAAATTGATTGATCTATAGAAAATTATGATTATTTTATTCATTCTAGAACTTGAATTCATAATAACAACACCAATAGAGGCTCATCAGCGTGGGATCAAGACCACCAGGAATCAATTTGAGGCATATTTGAATGAATTGAGAGTAAATAAGCCTTTCCGCGAAAATAAATTCGAAGGATCAGATCCTGACATCTTGAGAAGAACATGGGACCAATTAGCTGCCAAATTAAATGCTCTAGGTGGACCCTGCAAGGATGTGTCTGGGTGGAAACGGGTATGCTTGTGGTTTCTGCTCTTTTGCACTTCTTTCAATAAATAACATATACAATTGTATATTTATTTCAGGTGTTTACTGACTGGAAAAGTCAAGCAAGAGGAAAGGCAAGAAAGCTGAAGCTTTTCCAAGCTCAGACAGGAAATGTAGGAGTTCCTCCCAAACCACTGACAGATCTCGAAGAACAACTGTTAGATCTCACTGGACGGGTAGTAGTTACTGGAATGGATATCCCAGAAATAGGAATTGGTATGTAACTTTTTTGTGAGATAGAAGTCTTACTTGTGAAATAGTTCAATGGCATACTATATCAACTATACTATCTTCCTTACCAGATGGTCCAATACAACCTGATGTCCATCAGGAATTGAACAAAGATGATGATAATATTTGTGAAGAGGACATTGTAATGAAATACAATGATGTTGAGGCCAGTCAGGCATCTACATCACAAAAGAAAATAAGGCCCGCAAAAAGAAAAACAAGCCTACTTGGTTGCCTAAAAAAATTTGGCAAACCAGTCGTCCATAGATGATAACAATAAAACGGTGGAAGAATTAAATAAAATTGCGAATGAACTGAAACAAAAAAAAATCCAGAGTAAACAATTGCAAATTGAATTATTGAAACTGAAATTGAAATACCCAACTCATGATTTCATATTTGATTCATCAGAATCAGAGTAAAAATTAGCACCTAGTTGTTTGATTTACATGAATATCTGATGGTTTCTGATTATTCTTTAGTCCAAATGAAAGAGAATCTTTTTTTATATATTTTATTAAGAATGTAGTTTTTTTTTGTCATGATATATGTTCTTATCTGACTGATGTTTATTTTGTTGAGTTGTTTTTTGTTGAATTCATTTATGTAAATACAATAATTAAGGTAACTGAAAAAAAACTGTAGATGTCTTCATTGTATATAGGTATTGATTATTCAATAAAATACATGTGAATACATATCAATGGAATTCTTCAAACCCTAGACAACAGGAAAATGTGCCATCACAATTCGATTCCTGATGATATTTCCCCAATTGAGTAATTGTGCATCATAAATAACATCCCGTTCTTCCACATTTTCTGGATCTGGAGGATTTTCTTCTATTATTAAGTTGTCATTATCCACTAAAACACAGGAAACAATTCAAAATTTATTCAGAATATCGAAGATGCAAATCACTGAAATGTCAGTATTTTCTGCTGAACTTGGTGTAAGTGAAAACATACCAGGAATATTTCTCATTCTCATGATGTTATGCAATACACAACATGCATATACACTTTTTGCTGCCATTTGTGGGCTATAATGTAACACTCGATCTGAATGTAGACATCTCCAAAGCCCTTTCAGAATGCTATTGACTCTCTCAATGCAACTTCGAATTGCCTTATGTTTCCTGGTGTATCGGGATTCTGGTGTTTCATTTGGTGCACCAACAATAGGTGTTAAAAGATAAGGTAGTAGAGGATAACCTGAATCCCCTGAATAAAAAGTGTGATTAGAAATTATGTTAATTCAAAGTGAAATACATGTGTAGACACATGATAATATACATATAAAATAGTTCTATTTATGATAATGGATTTTTTGAAGATAATTCATAAAAAAAATTGCATTTAAATAACAGTGGAATAATTATATAGTTTCAGCACTTACCAATCAAATATGTTGAGTGGTCTCCATTGACAAATTTCTCATGTATATTAATTCTCACATTACTCATTCTCCATATAGCTGCATCATGTACACTTCCTGGATAACGCGCATTGACACTCAATATTTTTGTATCAACATCACATATCTGAAAAAATGAATAGTCCATAAGTACTTTATGTTTTTAATGTTGTTTCATTAGGAAAAATGGAACTTACAATCTGACAATTAATGCTGTAAAATCCCTTCCTGTTCATAAAAACATTAGGAGGATAACCAAGGTTCTGGAAATTAGGAGGAAAAATCTTTATGTGGGTGCAGTCTATACATCCGATGATCCCTGGTATCTCATGTTTAATATAGAATCTACAGTAATGATTATGTGAATGGTGGAATATGAAGAATACTTTACCCATTTTTTGTGTTGAAAATTTCATCAGCTGTCTGAGGGAACTTCACATATCTTTGCACAAGATTATTGACAATAATATCGATAACTTTGTTGTATATTTGAATGCTACCTTATAACCGCGAAAGTATTTATGTTGGTAGTCTGAATTTTCATTGTTGTCAATGTTGTCATTGTTGTCAAGTGACGAAGGGGTATTGGAATTATGCACATTTATATTCATTCATTCATTGATTCACCTCACATACAGATGACATACACTGTTCGGTAAATAAAATGCAGTTAATCATTCTCGAGCAATTTATTTCTCTCCACCGTCAAGACTTTAAGGGTACATACACAACAGTTGGCGACGAGGCAGACGAATCTGCGTTACAATCGGCCGAGTGAGAGGTTACGTACGGCACGTGTTCGTGCTACATACAGTTGCAGCTTTGGGAATACAGTACACCCAAACCGCCAAGAAACATGACTGAAGTCAATCATTCAGTCTATACAGTATTTTCAATCGAAAATTTCGACACCTCAAAAAGGTTCGACAGGTGGTTCATGCGCCTGGAAAGTGCTTTCGATGTTTTCGCAGTACCAGACGACAAGAAGGCAGCATATCTGTTACATTACAGGGGCCCCGAAGCCTATGATGTCCTGTGTGACAAAATTTCACCAGATGAGCCAGGTGTCAAGACGTATGCAGAATTGGTGAACACTATGAAGTTGCACTATAATTCAGAACCACTAGAAATAGCGGAAATCTACAGATTTTTACAACGAAGGCAGCATGAAGGTGAGAGTGCCAAAGAATATCTCACAGCCTTACAGGGCCTTGCTACAACATGCAAATTTGGAGAATATTTGAAGAAGGCACTAAGAAATCAGTTTGTGTTTGGTCTCCGAGCACAAAATATTCAAAGCAGACTACTGGAGCAGAAGGATTTGACAATAGAGAATGCATTGAATATTGCAGTTGGCATGGAAACCTCTGCAAGGGATGCTGCTCAACTTCATCGTCCAGCAGGGGGGACTAGTGTACACAGTGTGGGTGCTCATAGTGTACAACGAAAGTCAAATTCATGGGCCAGTAATCATGGGCAAAAGCAAAGAGGCCAACTCTCCTGCCAAGTGAATTCTCACAAAAATACTGATAATATATTTAGTTTTAGGTGTGGATCCCCACAACATTTGGCTCACCAATGTAATAAACGAAATTTAACTTGTTCCAAATGTAATCGGAAAGGTCATTTGGGAAAGGTATGCCTCAAAAATAAAAATGATAGTAGATCTACACATCAAATGGAAGAGGTTCAAGTTGATGAAATTCTATCAATACATACAGAACATCCACAGCTGAGAGAGAAGTTCACACTCACTCTGGAGGTAAACGAGGTAAGAGTTTTATTTGAATTAGATTCTGGTGCTGCAGTTACAATAATGAGTTGCATTGATTCACAAAAATTATTTCCTACGTTGCAATTACAAGAGACTGATACAAAACTTATCACATACAGTTAGAACCCTTTAGAAGTGCTTGGTTTAATTGAGGTAGAGGTAAAGTATCAGAATATTACAAAAAAATTGAATTTATACATTGTCAATACTGACAAACACCCACTTTTAGGAAGGGAGTGGATGAGAATGTTAGGTATAGGGTTCAATAATACTCCTGAAATTACATATGTAACCACTCAAAGTAGATTAGATAACCTTTTACAAAAGTACAATACAATTTTAAAAAAAGATTTAGGCAAAATCACAGGTTTACAAGCTAGTCTTAAACTCAAGAGTGATTCACAACCATTTTCATAAAGGCTCGCAAGGTACCCTATGCATTGTTGCCCAAGGTGGAAAAAGAACTGGATTTTCTAGAGAAAGAAGGGGTGTTGGAGAAAGTGGAAAGTTCTGAATATGCAACTCCAATAGTCCCAGTTCTTAAAGCCAACGGCAATGTGCGCATATGTGGTGACTTCAAATGTACATTGAATAAAAATTTAATTGTGGATGAGTACCCTCTACCTACTATAGAAACGTTGTTTTCCTCAATGGCCGGTGGAGACAAATTTACAAAAATAGATTTACAACAAGCATATCTTCAAATGGAAGTACGTCCAGAAGATAGGAAATATCTTACTTTGAGTACTCCAAAGGGATTATACCAGAGTACGAGATTAATGTATGGGGCCAGTGCACCTGCTATATGGCAGAGGGAAATAGAAAATATTCTAAAAGATATACCGGGCGTCTCAGTTTTCATTGACGATATCAAGGTAACAGGGGTTGATGGCAATTCCCATTTCGAACATCTAGAAGCCATCTTCAGCAGACTGGCAAAGTACAATATTAGAATAAACTATGAAAAATGTCAATTTCTCACAAAAGGAATAGAATATTGCGGATACTTAATTGACAAAAACGGCATTCATAAGTGTGAAAACAAGATGGAGGCAATTCATGATGCCAAGGTGCCATCTAACAAGTCTGAAGTTCGAGCATTTGTGGGGCTAGTAAACTATTACGGACGTTTCCTTGAAAATCTCAGCAATACGTTACAGCCAATATACAATTTACTTAAAGATAATGTGAAGTTTCATTGGGATAAGAGATGTCAAAGCGCTTTTGAAGCAGTTAAGACAGAAATAATGTCAGACAGAGTCCTAGCACATTTCGACCCTGAACTTCCTCTGATTTTAGCAACTGATGCTAGCCCATATGCAGTCGGAGCCGTGCTGTCTTACATTTATCCTGATGGAACAGAGCGCCTAATACAATTCAGTTCGCAAACATTGACTAATGTGCAACAAAAATATGCACAAATTGATAAGGAGGCTGATGCCATCATTTTTGGTGTAAAAAAATTTTATTATTACCTTTATGGTAGACCTTTCACATTGTATGTTGATAATCAACCCCTTATACAGATTTTTTCTCCGGCCAAACATTTATCAACACTGACTACAATAAGAATGCAACATTATGCACTTTTCTTACAAAGCTTCCAGTACAAAATAAAGTATAAAAATACAAAAGCACATGCAAATGCTGATGCTCTTTCAAGATTACCCTTGAACGTGACTACTAATTTTCATCATGATATATCCGACCAATTTGAAATTTTTCAGATAGAAAACTTACAAGTTTCCTCCAAGGAATTGGCGAGTGAAACTGCTAAGGATCCTATCCTAAAAAAACTTTTAGAGGCCCTTCAATCTGGGGTTGAATTAAAAGCAAGGGATAGATTTAATGTTCCACAGCTAGAATTTTCATTGCAAAATGATAGTATATTCCGGCAAAATATGGCCGTCATACCAAAAGGGTTACAGCACAGAATATTAGAAGAGCTTCACAGTGCACATTTTGGTGTGGTAAAAATGAAGGCTTTGGCAAGGGGGCACTGTTGGTGGTCAGGTATATCACAGGATATAGAGACCCTCTGCAAAAGCTGTCGATTGCAACAAAATGAAAAATAATCCTAG